AAGATTGATCTACGGTCCGAGTATCATCAAATTAAACTTCACACTTCAGATATACATAAAAATGATTTTAGGACATTTGATGGCCATTATGAATTTTTGGTGATGCCATTTGACTTATCAAATTCCCCATCAACCTTTCACTCAGCTATGAATGATTTACTACGACCATTTTTACGAAAATTTGTCTTGGTTTTCTTTGATGACATTCTGGTTTATAGTGAATCATTCGCGGCTCACTTGGTTCATTTACATTCCATTTTGCAATTATTATCAGAAAATCATTATTATGCAAAATTGTCTAAGTGTGTGTTTGGACTGCAGTCAATTTCATATTTGGGTCATATTATCATAGGGACAGGGGTCCTCCTTGACCCTGAGAAAGTGAAGGCCATTCAGGACTGGCCCGTGCCACTCACGTTGACTGCCCTACACAGATTTTTGGGTCTCACTAGTTTTTATCGGTGATTCATCCGCAACTATGCCGCAGTTGCCGCTCCCCTCACCGACCTACTTAAGACTATTACATACCAATGGAATGAGCAGGCTCAACAAGCCTTTATAGACCTTAAACAGAAAATTACAAGTAATCCTACTTTGTGCCTTCCCGACTCTAGCCAACCGTTTATGCTGGAAATAGATGCTTCTGCCATTGCTGTTGGCGTCGTTCTCTCCTAGAACCAGCATCCTATTGCATTTTTCAACATGAAACTAGGCACCAAGATGAAAACATAATCAATTTATGTAAGGGAAATGTATGCCATAATTGAAGCTGTCAAAAAATGGAGACAATACTTATTAGGTCAAAGGTTCAAAATCATCACTGACTAGCAAAGTCTTCAGCATCTCCTCACTCAGGACCTCCACACCCCGGAGCAACAAAAATGGCTTTCAAAATTACTCGGTTTTGGTTTTGAAGTGTTGTACTGACTAGGCAAACACAACCTTGTCGCCGATGCTTTGTCTAGAGCACCTCCAATGTCGGGCTTTTCTTTGTTGTTCGCCATTTCTTCCATCATTCCCCAATACTTGCAGCAGTGGCGACAGTATTTCACCCAGAATTCAGAAGGAAAGGACCTAGTTAATAAATGTTTAAGTGCTGATGACAAAGGAGAAATTTATATAGTTAAGGATAACTTACTGTATTTTCATCAACGCCTTTTTGTGCCTAGCCATGCTGATTTTCGTTCACAACTCATGGAAGAATTCCATAGTTCACCCACTGTTGGACACTCAGGGTTCAGGCCAAGTTTGTTCCGTCTTGCGGCTTCCTTCTACTGGCCTTCTATGGCTAAAGACTTCAAGGATTTCATCCGCAAATGTCGAATCTGTCAACTGTCAAAAACTCCAACGCGCAAACCTCTGGGGTTACTTCAACCCTTACCAACACCACACAAGATATGGGAGGATTTAAGTATGGATTTTATCACCTGTCTTCCCTGCTCTCATGGATACACTTCAATTTGGGTTGTCTGTGACTGTTTAAGTAAAGCCGCCCATTTCATCACTTTACCAACTCATTTCATCGCTGTCCAGCTTGCCCATCACTTTATGCATGAGATATTCTGACTTCATGGTTTTCCTCATTCCATTGTTTCTGATAGAGATCCTATCTTCTTGAGTACCTTTTGGAAGCAACTATTCAAGGTTGCTGGCACGAAACTCCGTTTTAGCTCTGCCTACCACCCGCAAACTGATGGCCAGAGTGAGGTCGTCAATCGTACCCTTGAAGCGTTCTTGCACTGCTTCGTTGTTGATAATCCACGCTTGTGGTTTGGCTATCTCCATATAGCTAAACACTAGTATAATACTAGCTTTCATTCTAGTTTGCGGACTTCCCCTTTTCACGTTGTCTTTGGCCACCAACCTCCCACTGTCATGGATTTATTATCTCCGAAAGATACAAACTCTCTGTTAGTTGCCGATCTGCTCCAACAACATCACCACACGTTATTAGACATCAAAAATGCCTTAAGGGTTGTGCAACAACGAATGAAAAGTCTGGTAGATCAAAAGAGAAAAGATCATACCTTCGCGGTGGGCGATTGGGTCCTCCTTAGACTTCAGCCTTATCGACAAGTTTCCCTCCATCGATGCTTAAACCAAAAAATCGCGAGGCATTTCTATGGCCCTTTTCGCGTTCACCGCCGCATCGGCGTTGTCGCTTATGAGCTAGATTTACATTCGTCTTCCAAAGTGCATCTCATTTTTCACATTTCCAGGCTTCGCCCTTATATTGGTAATGCTCCTTCGCTCCACCACCAACCCTTGCCTCCAGATTATGTTTTGCTTCGCAGTGACGAGACCATCATCACCACCGATGACGTACGACCTCCTCCATCGGGCACTCCCACACCCTTTCCCATACCCCTTCGTGAACGAGACTTTTATGAGACCCCACGAGACCCTTCTGGGTCTGTGACGCACCATTCACCCTTCATTAAAGAGATATCTCCACTTCTGCTTCCAGCTGCCCTGTTGGATCATTCATGGACAGCCGCGATTAATCCTCCACCACTTTTTTCGCAGTCCAAGAAAACCTTGACTGTCAACCCACTTACCCCAGCACGTGATGCTGTCAATCACGAAGTCCCTTCCAACCTTGTTCCACTCGGACCATTAGATGGGGAAACAACAAACACAAATGCATCTGAGACCGCCACATCACCCTCGATCCGTGCCTCACCCCTTATGGCCAATCCACGTTTTCCTTCCACTGACCTTGCAGACAAGGTCATTTTTGGGCCGCGGAGTAGTGATAAGCGCATCAAGTCAGCACCAATATGGAGCAAAGATTTCATAGTTAATTAATAATAGTGGGCCTTTGGACATTATGATAGTTTAACTTGCTATTTTTCTTTGTTATTGGGCTTGGAATTGTGCCTAGCGGTGCCCATTTTATCTATTGCTATTTAGCTTGAGCATCTGTATGGAAAGGGCAGATGATAATTTTGGATTGAAAATCTTTCTTAGGTTTCTCTTAGTGTAGCTTCTCTCCAGTAGCTTAACAATGTGTGTACCTCTTGTCTGATCTAAGCAGATACTTATCATCATTTCTTTATACTTTTGAGTGTAACAAAGAGTGTCAATGCAGAGCAGTTGAAGCTGATGCAGAACAATCATTTTCACGGTTATTTTGTCTTTTTTTTCATTAATGTTCTTCAAGACTTTCGAAGCTCCTTTTTGCTTAATCTGCGGAAAAATATCACCTTAAATGAAGTGTAATGTCAACAATATACATGAGATGATAACAATTTTGTAATATTAGGGTCAACAATTTAGATTAATTGTTGTAAAATTAATATAAAAGGTATTTTTTTACATTGATTCTTTAATAATTTATCTAGAATGTATACATTTCTTTTTTTTATAAATTTTGATTTTCATGACAAGATTTTTCAAATTGATAGTTAGTAGAATTCAACTAGAACATTAACATATATATTTACAACTTTTGAAATTATTGATGATGCATTTTATATTGGTTTTGCTTCTTAGTACAATCTATTTTTTTTACCTTTTCTTTTTCTCTTCCTTTCTATTCCAACTCTCTCTCTCTCTTCTAATGTAGGTGTGATAAATGTAATGTGTGAATTTTATGGTTTATAAATATTTCTTTTATATTTTTTTCTTCTTCTTGTTTAACTTGGAGTCTCATTCAGTCAACCTCTTTTTATATTTAAGTCCTTTTATCTTATCATTGGTATTCTTATTCTATCGAATTAACTGATTTTCTATTTTTTTAATCATAGTATTGATAGGAGTATCTACCAGCTTTGTTGAAAACTAGTATCCCTTGGAATCTTAAGACTTGAGAAACTAACTATAATACCAATTAAGCCAATAGACAGTGGTGAATTAAAATATTTTAAGTAATAATTCGATCCTGATTTTAAGGAATATAAGAATTGCAAGAGAAAAAAAGTAATTAAATTTGTTACTTTACTATCAATCTATCATAAATTCAAATTCTATTTTAAAGATACCCTTATATTTAAGTGTTTATTATATTTATTGTTTAAACATTTCCAATACAAAGTGTTTGTGATGTATCTTACTAATAAACAACAATGTTCATTAGCAACTTCCACTAGAGTGTGATAACATGACACAAAAATTGCTTAAAAATAAATAACATTTTTAAATAAGTAATTTTGCTTAAAACACAAATCACTCTCATAAATAAGTATATTATCTATTATGTTTAATTAAATTATTATTTAATTATAATAGAGTAAACTATTTTTTTATCATACAAATTAAAAAAAACTTATGATCAAAATTTAAAAAAAAATTCATGTGTATTTTAAAATATAATTATTGATTTATTTAAAATCAAACTTATTAGTTTATTTAATGTTGTTAATGTAAAATAAACTTTTAAATAAATTAATAAGTCAAATTAAATTTTTAAAAAAATCATGTCAAACTTATAAAAAATTATGATAAATTATACGTCAGACTTAGATTTTAATTTTATAAAACAGGTTTGAATTATATATTAAAAGTCTGACAATATTTATTCACATCCCTTCCCTTTTTATGAATTATAATACAATAATAATTTTTTTATTAAAAATAAAAGTATTTTGAACTCTTCCTTATGAAATTCCAACATGGATGTATGCCAAGTAAGGAATATTTTTTCTCATCAAACATACACACATGAACCATTCCGTCCAAGTGTGTTTGAATTAAATTCAATTTCCTCAAAAACAATTTTAATTTCACATTGAAAGTTAAAGAATAAATAATTATTCCCATTTTTTTATTATTTTTTTACCATGATTTTGAAGATCAAAGTTAATTAAAGTAATTAAAAGTTGACGAAAAAGAGCAATTCAGGTAATTATCCAAACACATTAAAAACACAATTTCTTCATAATTGGATTAAAAAGATATTTCAAAAGAATGGCGCGATCCAAATCCAAATTCCAAACGGCCAATAAAAAAAAAATAGAAGGGTACTTTTGTAATTACGCCGGTAACTCATGGGATCAGATCAAATTTAAACGGGTCTCATTCGCATTTCATTTCTTTCCATTTCATTTTGAATTGAAACCGCGGAGCCGAGAGCAATTTGCTGCTGCATCGATCTTCATCTCATTCTCATGGTTAGGGTTCTCTCGTCGATTCCTTTCCCTATTATCATTAACATGCCTATCTTCTTCGTTTTGCTGCTTTATTATACAATGAAATGTGTTTCGTACTCGAATCCGAGTCTGCATATTTTTGCGACTAGGGTTTTCTAAATTCAAGATCTCATTCATCAACAAGTATTTTTTTCAAATGCTAATTGGTTCCTTTCATAATCGCAGGACGGGCAAGATTCGCAAGACCCTAAGCAAAGTCCTGCTGACATGACAGCCTTTGTAAGCTGTTCTTCGTTTTCATAATTCTATTATTAGTTTCTATTAATTCGTATTGTTCTGTTGCTGCAATTGTTTTGCTTCAATTTTTTTGCTATTTATTAATTTTGATCTTCGATGTTACTGGCATCTCTTGATATTGTCAATGTGGCCACTTTACTTTTCTAACTCAATCAATGTCGTCCCCATTTTTGCTCTTTTCAGGTGCAAAATCTTCTTCAGCAGATGGTGAGTTGTGTATGCTAGGTTTTTGGAGCTTCAATTCTGACTTATAGAATTTGTTTACCTGCTGCTAACTAGATTTTTGTTTCCAGCAAAATAGGTTCCAGACAATGTCCGACTCCATTGTTACAAAGAATATCCTTTTGCTATGCCCTTCAATTTATTATATAAGCTTACCCTAGGCTGAGATTTTTTAAGAATATTAATATTAATTTCAGGCAGTGGTAGTTTGTGCTTGTGTTTTTTCTCTCCCTCCAGTAATAAGATTTGATTCAAAGAGTTTAGTCTGGTTTGGATGATAGAATATCTAAGGGGGTGGGAATATTTTTTGTTTTCATTTTTTTTTATTATCTAAAGTTTGTATAAGAAACAGGAAAAACAACTTTTTAGTTGTGTTTTTTATTTTCTATTTTCATCATTTCTTGTACAAAATTTTGAAAACAGGAAACAAAGTGAAAACAAGATAGCATGAATTAAAAGTTAAAATAGGGAATGAAAAAGAAAACCTTTCCTTAAACCACACTTGCCTTAAATTGGCTTACATTTTACTTAACAGTCTTGCTAGGAATTGCTTTGGACATTTAGTGAAGGAATTAAATGGAACCTTGAAGTTTGGTTATATGATGTTTAAACTATAATCTATAATGGTTTCAGTCCATTGTTTCATTTGCTTATTTGTGTTGTTTTGTTACCATTATATTATAAATATATTTTTGTTTGTAACTTATTGGCAACCCTCCAATGCCCATTAAAAATTTAAAATGGCTCTTGTCATCAATACTCAAACCAATAACATGATGGTATCTATACACAGTTAGTATCTGTCGTATGGGCCTTCACCTGTAGCTTAAGTTGATGGGAGGGATAATTACTTGGCATAGACAATAGCACGGGTGATAAATTACAACTGTGCACATCTGCATCTTGACTTTTTTCTTGTGAACTCAATGCAACCTGTGTGACTCATGGTTTAGTGCAATTTGTATATGGTTCTGTATGTGGTGTCATGATATTGGCTGAGGCAGGATGGGTAGTGCTTCCAATTTTATTACATGAGTGTTCTAGTCTTGCTAAATACTTTAATTCTGGAAAGAAAATGTTTTTCTTGACGTCAATGCACTTGATGATATGGGAAACCGTATAAATGAGTTGGAACAAAGCATCAACGACCTGAGAGCAGAGATGGGAGTGGAGGGCTCTCCATCACCTGTGGCCCCTGCTAAGCCAACAGAGGAGACTACCAAAGAAGAGGGTTCAACTTAAGTGGCGTTCTGATTTCAGTTGCTCATTATTCATGTATTGCATTGCACAAGGATTGATATTATGCATCTATTTTTGTCTGCCTTAGTAGTTTAGAAAACAGATGTGCTGTATAGCTATGAGTGCACCTGAACATTTGTAGCTAACTCGTATGTTTTTTATGACTTGAGCGTACACCTATACATTTATGTTGCAATTAATTTGTTGCCACCATTTTGCCCCTTTTTTTCTCAGCATGCTCTGGGTGGATGAACCATGGTCCCAAATCCAGGGATTGCTGTACTAGTAATACTCATTTTTTTTTTTTTTCAATTTTTGAAAGATTGCCAAGACTAAAGAGCACTTGTATGCAAGGCTTGTAAAACCAATTTACCAATGCCATTGTGGGAATTGCAATTCTGTATATTCAGCTCCACTGGTGAGGGTTTGCATTTAAAATTTTTCATGATAAAATTGCAGTATAATGAATACTCAAATTGTGGTTGTAACAATATATATCCTCCCCGCCGCATCCCCTTGTATTCTCATCACTGTAACATGCCATTTTTTGACCTTACATCCCGAGTTGCAAAGCCGATTTGCCCATTCTCGGTCCAACTTATTTCAAAATTAAATTTGATGCATAAACTTTAAAAGCACCTGTTTGCCAGATTCCAACTTTCCAAGTATTCTAATTGCTGAGGAAAACGCTGCATTAACGTCATGGGGTTACCTACTACGACATTGAAGTTGCATCGACGTTTCAATATCTACACCTATAAATTCCAATGTTTTGGGTCACGTGGGAATGGGGTCCGAGGAAAAGTGGCATTTTGAATCGAGTTAAAACATTTTTAACTTGATAAAGCACATTTAGATCATTGAACCATCTTATGGTGTGGTAAATGCGTTCACGTTGGTAAAAAAATTGTTTTGTTTTAGACTGAAGGCCTAATCTGGGCCTGCTGAGTTATTAAGACTCAATTACTTGACTGTTTATTTTCAGTTTATTCTAGAGGTTATTATGGTTCATCCCCTATCAATCTTAGCAAAGCAGATGAATGAAACATATATGATCAACGGTTGTCCTTTGGATACCCAAATTAACGCAAGATTCTGCCGTTTCTATAACAGCTTCTCGGGGCTGAGAAGGGCATGAAACCAATAAAAATCCAACTTTTTAGCTGAGGTAAAACAAAGGCTTAATAAGGAGGAAGCGACGGTTTTTCTAGTTCTTCTCCTATTTGATTGAGAAGCAGGTACAGGGCAACCTTTGACAAGTTTGATAACATCTTCAGTTATTGTTAGTATGGTTTAAATCCATCTGTTCAAACAAGTCAAGATTTGGACCTTCTTTTTCGGCCAATCTGAAAAGGTAATGGCCTTATTGTAGAGTGCTTCCCAATGCAACAAAAGAGTAGAGACTAATCTTTCATGCTGAAAGCGAAATTTTCTTTTGATATCTTTTTAAACACCTAAATTTTAGGACCCAACCGTGCTGATTGCAATTTTCATTAATTTTCTTAGTGTTTATTTGAAGAGTGGAAAAAGAAAAAAGCAATTTTATAAGTGTTGTTAAACTAGAATAAATTAATCATAACTCGATTTTATAAGTAATTTTAACTTTGTTTAAAATAATGAGATACCGCATTAGCCTTCTCTCTTTTGTTTGTTTCATTTATGAAAAATGTCAATAATACACTCGCTAATATATTTTTTAAGACACTTTATTTATTTATTATTAATTAAAATTTTATTTTAAATTTTAAAAATTGTATATCTCACTCCATATATAATAAACTCCAGTTATAATTTAATAATTTTAAAAAATAATAAAAATTATGTTTAAAAAATGTATTGCTAACACTTCATTATTTTTTATTCACGTCTTCAATAAATTATCATAACAGGGGAAATTGAATAAAAAAATTGAAGCAAGACATGAGAATATTGGTAGCAAGATACTTAGGAGTATGCTTAGATAATCTTTTCCCTAAATAATTATAAAAAATAGAAAATAAAAAAGAATAAATTTCTCTATAATCTATTAATTTATACATAAATTTAAAATAATTTTTTAAAAGTTCATATGAAAAAGTTTTTACAAATTAACTTATTATAAACTAATTTTAATCGGTAAAATAGTTTATTTCATTAATTTTTTTTCTTCTATTATTAGTGCTTGTATATAAGTTTATCAAAAACATACTTCAAATCAAATTAGATGAATCATATTCATTCACATCTGCCTTAGATCACAAACAAATATTAATAAACTAATTTAATTTAATTAACAATTTAACATGTTTTTGTTTCTTAGCGTTGATTCATCTTCCATTTTTACTACGCTGCTAAAACACTCTGAAATTAAATGTTGAGAGTTGATACCCTTTGATTTGATTTACATTTTCAGTTCAAAAAATATCTAATTCCATAAAGAAGCATCTGGATTCTTGATTGCAAGTTGCCGACTTTATATGACTCGAAACTACCGGTGGTCGCAGAACACATATCTATATGCTTTTGTGAGTGACATTAAAGACTGTTACTGATGGCCGAAAAACAAACAATGACTCAAACTAAAAGTTGTAAGAGAAGACATTAGATTATGCTTTTGTGAGACATAGAAGATTAAAAGAGAATAATTCCTTATCCATTCCATTAGAATCATCTATTTATATACATATTATACAGAGTATAATTTGGCTAAAATTAGAAAACAAATTCGCTATAAATAAGGAACTAAATATACACATAACAGATATTATAATAAATTAGAATATATTATCATATATTCTAACACACCCCTGCAGTCGAAGCAGGAGGTCGCTGAATGCTAAGACTGTCTCGAAAATCCTCAAATAACACCAGCGGAAGACCCTTGGTGAAAATATCTGCAATTTGATAACATGAGGGGACATGAAGCACTCGAACCTGGCCGCGAGCAACCTTTCCTCGAACAAAATGTATATCCATTTCAATATACTTAATGCGTCTGAACAGAATTTCCAGCAAGGTATATGACACTAACATTATCACAATATACCAATGTAGCCTTTTGAATTGGACAATGAAGCTCCAAAAGTAAGTTTCTCAACCAACATGACTCAGAAATCACATTGGCAACCCCTCGATATTCCGCCTCTACACTAGATCGTGATAAGGTAGGCTGTCGCTTGGCGGACCAAGAGATTAAGTTATCTCCCAGAAAAACACAATAACCAGACGTAGAACGTCGTGTATCTGGGCACCCACCCCAATCAGCATCAGTATAAGAAAGAAGGGTGGATGTAGAAGATGAATATAGATGAAGACCAAGATCCATAGTACCTTGAATGTAACGCAAAATGCGTTTGAGAGCGTGCATGTGCGCCTCCCTTGGGTCATGCATGAATAAGCATACCTGTTGCACGACATGAGTAATGTCGGGTCTTGTGAATGTAAGGTACTGAAGAGCCCCAACAAGACTCCTATAAAGAGATGGATCCTCAAAAGGTGTGCTTGTAGTATCACTAATCTTTGGTTTGGTATCAACAGGAGTAGAAGATGACTTACACGATGACATGCCAACTCGGTCAATGATCTTTGCAACATATTTTTTTTTGAGATAAAAATAAACCACTTGCATGACGAGTGACATTGATGCCCAAAAAGTAGCTCAAATGTCCCAAGTCCTTCATAGCAAATTCCAAGCTAAGAAGGGATATGATAGACTTACGAAGCTCATCAGAAGAAGCAGTCAAAATTATATCATCCACATATAACAATAAATAAGCCATAGAAGTACCTCAATGATAAATGAACAAAGAATGATCCGAAGTACTGTGAGAAAACCCAAGAGTACGGACATAGTTAGTAAATCTCTTATACCAAGCCCGTGGGGCTTGTTTAAGCCCATAAAGAGATTTCTTTAGCAAACACACATGATTAGGTCAATCAGGGTCCCGAAACCCCAAGGGTTGATGCATGTAAACAATTTCCTTGAGTTCTCCATGTAAGAATGCATTTTTTACGTCAAGTTGATGAATAGACCAAGCTTTAGAAAGAGCCAAACTGAGAACTATGCGAATAGTTGCTGGTTTGACCAATGGACTAAACGTTTCACCACAATCCACGCCAACTTGTTGAGTTTTACCATCACCTACAAGACGGGCTTTATGCCTCTCAAAAGAACCATCAGATTTGTCTTTATGAGAAAAAATCCACATAGATCGAATTACATTAACATTAGGTGGACGGGGTACCAACTCCCACGTCTTATTATTAATAAGAGCATGATATTCATCATCCATAGCCTTTTTCCAATTCGGGTCACGAAGAGCAGATACAGGGTTACGAGGTAGTGGGGACTTAGACACAAAGGTAAGAAGAGTGACGGACTTCATACTCTTATAAATCCCATGTTGGCTTCTGGTAACAGGCCTTTTGGGTGGGGTTAGATGTGAGCTTGGAGTTGGGCGAGGAAGAGAGATGGGTAGGAGAGGAGGTGGGGTGGAGGGGCTCGGCCTAGTCGACATGGGAAGGCTTTGTTGCTGGTTGGGCAAGTCGATTGTTGGATCCGGCGAAATGGTCTCTAGTGAGTTGGGTAAGAGAGTAGCTTGTGGTCTTGTTTGAGTAGAGAAATGAGAGACCATATAAGAGATGATCCATCATCTAAAAACTCATAAGTGTGATTTTGAGGAGTATGTAACTGTGCAAAGGGAAATTGCAGTCTCATCAAAAATTACATGACGGATAATGATGATTTTTTTAGATGATAAATCAAAATATTTGTACCCACGATGATTCGAAGGATACCCAAAAAAAACACAAGAAGTAGACCGATGTTGAAGTTTGTTTATGGTTGTAGAAGGAATGAGAGGATAACATAAACACCCAAACACTTGAAGATGAGAATAAGATGGGTCCTTTTGATAAAGGATTCGGAGAGGAGATTGATAGTTTAATAACTTGTGAGGAAGAATATTGAGAAGTTATGTTGTCATTTGCAAAACGTGATGCCAAAAAGAAAGGGGAAGAGAAGCATGGGCCAATAAAGTACCTACAATGTTGTTGATTGTACGAATTTGTCTTTCATCTTTCCCATTTTGAGGGGATGTATGAGGACATGAAAAACGAAAAGAAATACCATTAGCCTTACAAAATTCCCAAAAAGGCCCATTATCAAATTCGGTGCCATTATCACACTGTATATTTTTTATGTCTCGTTCAAATTGAGTTCGGATGAGGGATTTGAAATTCAAAAATGTGGAATAAGTTTGTGATTTTTGCGATAAAGGAAATGTCCACAAAAATTTAGAATAATCATCCACAAACAAGACATAATATCTATGACCCGATGAACTCAAAACAGGTGACGTCCAAAGATCACTATGGATAATATCAAATGGCATAATAGTGCAAGAATTTGAAGCATAAAATGGCAACTTAACATGTTTTCCAAGAGGACATGAATGGAAAATACGAGAACCCTTAATTTGATTACATTTAATCAATTTATTCTTCCTAAGGGAGTTCAAAATAGGTGCTCCTGGGTGACCCAAATGATCATGCCAAAGAGATGCTGTTACGACAGCAAAGGTATATGGATTTGTAGGCTTGGTGATGGGATAAAGCTCGCCCTGACTCTCACACCTCATTACCGGCTTCCCCGTCTGAAAATCCTTCATAGAAAATCCAAAGGGATCAATTTTAACATAAACAGAGTTATCGGTTGTAAACTTTCTAACTGACACCAAGTTTTTAACAAGTTGAGGAGCATGAAGGACATTGTTTAATGTTAAGGGAGGACACGGGAATAACAATTTGGTGTGACCATAGCCATGAATTGGAATTGAATGACCGTTACAAAAAATTATACAATGTTTGTTGCTCATATTAAAATAAGACGTGAGGTTACCTTGTGCGGATGTCATGTGAGAAGTAGCACTAGTGTCCATGTACCAATTTGCATCTGGACGACTGATGCCGAGAGTATGCGTTGCGGCTTCTATGTCTGTTGGAGTTGGTGCTGCGGTGTAGGCTTGCGGAGGTCTAGGCCCAAGTACACCAGGCTGTTGACGCTGTTGCTGTCCAAATTTGGGCCTGACCCATTAATTAGTAGGGTACGGACAAGGAGGTGTAGCCCACTAAGCCATTCATTGCCAAGGCCACGGTTGTCCGCCAGGCCATAGGACATTGGTCAGAGCTTGCTGATTGGCTTGCTGCTGTCCACCACCGCGCCTCACGGCTGGTGCCGCCTTTTCTGCCGCCACGACCACCATTGTTGCGACGATTTTTCCCTCCATTATTTTTGCGATTTTGGCTCCTCTTCCCACCATTATTGCGGTTCGAAGAGGGATAATCAGAAACATCAGGAGAGCCATCCGAGTCACGAGCAATCATGGCAGATGACGAGTTCTGTGCTACCTTTTTGGCAAGGCCGGCCTCTTCAAGAGTGAGCATTGAACGGGCTTGATAAAATTGGGGTAAGGGATCACTTTGGCGAATAAGGGTGGCCACACCGTTGTAGGGTTCGATGAGACCAGAGACTAGTTGAAGAACAAGTCTGTTGTTGGCGACGAGAAAGCCGACATTCTTGAGTTGATCCGAAAGAGATTTAAGATGTTGACAATATGCAGAGACATTTGGAAAATCTGCCATGTCGGTGTGAGTGAAGTCATACTCAAGGGTGACGACACGAGAGTGTTTGTTATCATGGAATATGTCATGCAATCTATTCCAAGCCTCCATTGCCGTGGTGTTAGGTTCAAGAATGGTATGTAAAAGATCATGAGAAATAGTGGTGTAAATCCACTAAAGAACGGTAACGTCAAGGGTCGACCATAGTTCTTTCTCCTCCTCTATCTGAGGAACTTTCTCCTTGCCTTTTGCTAGAGGAATAATATGATCAATTACTTTATGGGAGCGTGTGTGAATTTTGAAGAGCCCATGTCATATATTGCACGTTTTCCATCTCAAGAGTGATGGGAACGTGGTTCCTGATGTTAGATACAGCGAGAGCAGGGTGAAAGGAAGACTTTGAGTCGGACATGGAAGTTGATAGGTGGATGAAGAAGACAAAGAAACAGGGCGGAACGGTGCTGGGACTATGAGCGGAAGTCAGAGAAAAGGTTAGGGAGGTTTCCCTAATAAATCTTATACCATAAAAGAGAATAATTCTTTGATCTATTCCATTATAATCATCTATTTATATATATATTATACCGAGTATAATTTAGCTAAAATTAATAAACAAATTAGTTACAAATAAAGAACTGAATATACGCATAACAGATATTATAATAAATCAGAATATATTATCATATATTCTAAAAGAAGATATTCAATAGCAGAGACGACTGCCGTACAAAGATATTTGATGAACAGTTTTGCCAAATTATGATTGTAATGTGTATTTTACATGTTGGATATAATATAAGGCTAATTACACAAGTTGCATAGCATAGGACATAGGTGATAGGTGTGACAGTCTTTCATTCGCCGCATTTATTGGTGAAGGGTAGAGAGGTATTTTCACAGGACTTGACCGAAAATAATGAACTCCACTAAGAGCACATATGCCAAGAAAGGTGAGTTCATAGATGTTAAAAGATATACGGTAGCATTTCATGTTTTTCCAACAATATCAGACACCTTCCATGATATTGAAGAGAGTAAGCATATATGTATCACATATTAAGCAATGGTATACGTCACATGACACCCATAATTCAAAACAAAAGATGCCTACTTTTCTCTTTAAAGATAGCCTCATTTGGCACATGTTTCCCTTCCATCACCGTGTCCATCCACTAAGCTAGTTGTGGACAAGAATGCTAACCCACTCACCAGGTTACGGATTGTTTTCATTTTGCATTGTCAAATAGAATATTTCTAAGAAACTTTTGGAGGACACACAAATCCTCATATGTGCTCACCTAGTCATGCAAAACCGACTCTTGAAATTGAAACCTTAACTTTCCCCTGCACCATCAATACTTCCTAGAAATAGGAAATAAATTTTATCACCTTACCATTATTGTCTGGCTAGAATTTTCATGTGGATAACAAGCAGAGCACCTATACATTATACATTATACATTAAGCATCTAAACACACAAATGAGTAAAGCCACTGACATGACATGCAAAGAGTGTTGTGACACTTTTCCTTCATGACATCTTGGACAGTGACACTAGTTGTTCTCCTTGTGGATAAGTATATGTAATGTGCGTGCTTAATTTTAGTCGGCTAGGTTTGGTGCTACGTTTCTTTGTCATGTTTAATCCCTCCCTAACATTTCAGTCTATCTCTGTATGCTATCGAGAATCACTTTTTTATTTTTTAGTTAATGGACGCTATGAATGATCTTTTAAATGATGCTTGCAACTTATTTACCTAACTGATATTTTTAGGACCAGCATCAAGTTGAATACATGCTTAGTTATGGAAAATAAATGACTTGATGGTTTCAATTTCAGGTAGACCACCTTCAATTTGAAAGAACACGAATATATCTTATTTTAAAAGTGCAGAGAAGAATATATACATGTCCAATCATGAACTAGAACCAGATACTTTGTGATGCATACATACCACCATCTTCGGTGTCTGATGTTTCTGCTAGCAAATCTGAAGAATAGACATAATAACTTCCTTCTTTAACCACCAATCCAGTATCAAAGCTCGAACCTCGCATCCTTGTCCTTTACATTATTCAGAAACAAGAATAGTACAGGCTTATGCTTTAGCTTATTCTTTGTATAGTATTTGTCTTTCACTCAAATGATGCAAAATTACAAAAGTCCCTGACATAATTGTGTGATTCCGTAATGATACTGTACCAATCAAATTATTTTATTGAACCAGCTCAGCTGTTTAATCTAATCTGACCAACATGAACTATCTTGGAGGACTAACTGCACCATGAATAAGATTGTTTTCATTTCACTTAGCAATGAAAAAGAGTGCTAAGGGGGTCATCATAATCATGATCAAGCCATAAAATTTTCACATCATGTGCACTTTGTCTAATTCTCATTGTTACTTAGCACAGCTAAGCTTTTGGAAGTTATGTTATCCATTATGCAACATTTTGCATGATTGTTTCCATAGAATGTACCCAAAAATTTTGTTTTCTTAACCTCAATTCCGAAATCATTAAGCTGAAATCAAGTAAATGTTTTATGGGGACCACATCATGAATGGCATCAGCATTATTAATTGTTTCCAATCGGGTTGCACTGATGTATGACAAGAGAGAAAAAGATAATTAAATTAAGAAAAAAAGAAAAAAGAATATTTTTTAAGAGTTGTATCTGGCCATATCAGTAATAGGACAAAACTAGCAAAAAGTTTTTAAGGTACTTATTGTATTATACTCCAATACGTGTATAATTTTATTTTGCATCAATTTGAGGACCATTAAAATGAAGGAAAAAGTGACTAAAAAATAATACACATGTTTTTATTGAAAAACATAACACTACAAGCTCCAAACAATCTTTATGCAATAATATACATATACCTATCTATAAATAAACACACTAAATGCATTTCAAACCAAGTGAACATTAAGTGGTGTACCCTACTCTTGTGAGTTCTTGTGCTCCTTTCTGTGGCCATGGACGGAAAAAAATTAGAGTACAAAGGTGAGGAAGCACTAAAGGAGATAGAGAGGTTGACAATGAAGGCTGCTGAAGTTCAAGAAAGCCTTTTGAAACAGATCTTAACTCAGAATAAGGAAACTGAGTATTTGAATAAGTATATGAGGGGAGAAACAAATGTAACAGACATAGCAGAGTTTAAGAGGTGTGTTCCTGTCATCTCTTATGAAAGAATCTTCCCATATATCCAGAGAATTGCAAATGGGGAAGACTCTTCTCTTATCACTGGTCACCCTATAACAGAAATGTTATGCAGGTAACCTCTGCTACCTCTAGTATTCGTTCATTCAATTCATTCCATTATTATAAGTTTCTGCTTGTATTAATTTATGTCAAAAACTAATCTTAATCATGTATATTACGGTATGTGCAGTTCAGGGACATCAGCTGGAGAGCCCAAAATGATGCCATCAATTGCTGAAGATCTAGAACGCCGTACCTTTGTGTACAATCTGATCATGCCAATCATAAATCAGTTAATACTTAATAATAATAGTAACAACATCCCCATATCTTTTTATTTCTTGGCTTGATTATGCACGTAGTCACCTATTACTATTAGTCATACTCACACTCCTTTTGTTGCATTTGAATTAATATTTCATTGTTCATCAGCAGTATATGGTTGGAGCTTACTTGCTCAATTTTCCTGCATAATTAGCAACTTGATTCTTTATTGTGTTAGATGTCATCACGCTTGGGTTATGATTCTCCATTCTAAGTATATGGCCAAATGAAAAAGATAAGATGAAAAAGATATGACGTGACAACTATTAACAAGAGTAGGCAGGTGGAGGGCCCATTACCATGCATCGGTTACGTTTATATTTTTTTTAAAAAAGATGATATATTATTTGCTAGTTATATTTGCGTTCTACAAAACAAAAGGATCATATATAGTGCATGCTAGCTAGCTAGTGCATCTTGACATGTATTTCATTTATGCATATTTTCAATCGAATTAATCTCACCAAGTTACCATATAGACAATACCAGAAACGCCTAAACATATCTATCTCTCTAGTTAAATTCGTACTAGCCAGTACCTTATATGTAGTATCAGATAAATATAATGATGCCTGTTGAGTATATTTCATCAATGTAACCCATTTTCCCAACCATATATATCTCCATGTTGAATAATGTTAGGTACGTTCGTGATCTGGACGAGGGCAAGACAATGTATCTGTACTTTGTGAAAGCAGAAATGTCCACTCCTAGTGGCTTACCTGCTAGGACAGTGTTAACAAGCTACTACAAGAGCAAGCACTTCAAGTGCCGCACACACGACCCTTGGAACGATTACACAAGCCCTGACCAAACCATTCTATGCAATGACAGCAACCAAAGCATGCATTGCCAGCTTCTAGCGGGTTTGGTCCACCGACGCCAGGTTCTGAGGCTTGGCGCAGTTTTTGCCTCAGCACTTCTTCGAGCCATTTCCTTCCTTGAACGTAACTGGAGGCACCTATGTGAGGACATAAGCACTGGCCAACTAAGCTCCTTCATAACTGACCCTGCATGTCGCTCATGCATGTCCACGGTGCTTTCTTCTCCTGACCCTCGTCTTGCTGATGAGATCACGAGAATCTGTAGTCAAAAGTCTTGGAAGGGAATTCTGTGCCAGCTTTGGCCTAGAGCCAAGTACATAGAGGCTGTGGTTACTGGCTCCATGGCTCAGTATGTTCCTGCTCTTAAGCATTACAGCGATGGAAAGTTGCCTTTGGTTTGTACCATGTATGCTTCGTCTGAGTGCTACTTTGGGGTGAATCTGAAGCCTCTGTGTGATCCTTCGGATGTTGTGTTTACCCTCTTGCCTAACATGGGATACTTTGAGTTCCTTCCTCTTGGACACAACGGGACACTGTTGATGGACTTTGACGAAGGGGAGCAAGTTCCCATTGATAAGCTCGTGGATTTGGTGCATGTCAAGATTGGTTGCTTTTATGAGCTGGTCGTCACTACCTTTGCTGGTGAGTCTTGAATTAATTCATCCATTTCCTTCCTAATCCTTCCATGCATCCATCCATCTATATTTTTTTATATCAGTGTACAAAAAAGCTATAATCTATTTTAACTTTTACTACTATAGTGGTTGCATCATAATTCACATATATATATATGTGTGTTTTTTTTTTCTTTAAGCTATAATTAATCTAGTCCCGAGTACTACCAAACCGTGACTTTAGAAGCCTTTTTCTAATGATGTACTTAAACACACTAATTAACTGTGTTGGTGGAATAATTGGAATTAAAGCAGCCAAGTGTTAGAAGGGTACATATGGTGAGACTGAGAAATGAGGGAATATAATTTTGATTATACAATTACATAAAAATAACTAAAATTGATTAAACAACCTCACATGATATATTTCACACACACATATATATATATATATGTGTGTGTACGGAATTACATTTTCTCCTTCCCTATTGTCTCTCTAGCTAAAAAAAACAAAAGGAGAGAAGTAATAGCAAGAACAAGCTAAATGATATGGCGAGAAAAAGAAATTAGAGAAAGATAAAAAACTGTAGAGAGATCATAGAGGATTCTACGAAGATCTAAGTTCATATATGTACGCACCCACATGGATTAGAGATGCATTATTAAGCGAGATGATTATTTTTACTTAAATTGTATATTTTAATCTTACCCATTCGTGTAAGCTTTAATCATCACTATTTCATCTAATTATATATATCATACAGTAAAAATTCAAAACATACGTTTTTTACACGTCCAAATGATGATGTATCTTTGTGATGAGACCATATTTTCTACGAAGTACAGAAAAGTGTGTTATGCACTTCTCAAGTTCAAATAACAACCCATTTGATATTATCATCACACCATTAAACTCTTTACTAAAAAAAAGAAAAGCATTTTTCAATTACAAATTACCATTTATGATAAACTATTAACTTCTATAATAAATAAATAAATAAAAGAACATAGCAGCAATGATATGCGATTAGTTTAGAATATAAAACGGGTGGATAATGATGAACTATTAACCCGACCCTCATGGGAATCTTCAGGGCTATATCGTTACCGCATTGGTGACGTGCTTCAGGTGGTGAGATTCTACAACAACGCCCCACAAGTCCGTTTCATCTGCAGGAGGAACGTGGTGATAAGCATCGACACTGAGAAGACGAACGAGGAGGATTTGCACAGGAGCGTGACGATGGCGAAGAAGTTGTTGGAGCCATACGATGCTCTCCTAGTGGAGTACACGAGTTACCCCGATACATGTTCAGTCCCAGGACACTACGTATTGTACTGGGAAATTCTCCATTGCGGCACAAAGACGGAGCCAGAGGCCCCACTGGATGGAAGCGTACTCGAAGAATGTTGCATTGCGGTGGAAGAACAGCTTGACTACGTATATAGACGGTGCCGTAGCAATGACAAATCGGTGGGGCCTCTTGAGATACGTGTGGTGGAGCCAGGAACGTTTGACGCATTGATGGACTTGTTTATCAGCCAAGGTGCTTCGATCAATCAGTACAAAACTCCAAGGTGCATTAAGTCTAAGAAGGCACTCAAGTTGCTCAAATCTAAAGTTACTGCGTCTTTCTTCAGTCCTAGAGATCCCACATGGGCCCCCAAAATGTGTTGAATTCAAGTTGAGGAGGACTCTTGTCTTGTGTTCCAACTTTTTGTTCATCATTATGGTGTTTAATTAATTGCCTCCATCCACACCTTGCACAACGATTTGCCTTTCCTTTGTATTCGTTATCTTTTCTGTAAGCAAAAGCGCACACTCCATCTTCATTTTAGGTCTACCAAGAAATTTTATGACATATTCGCATCAATATATTTATATATAAATCCTATGCTTTATTGAATATCAAAACTTAAATTGTATATCTGACTATGGAGAAGAGGATCTATATATCTTTATTCAGTTCTTATAAGAAAATATGAAAGCAGCTAACAAAGTCACAATGATTGTCCCTTTCTTTCACTATATTAGGGTTTCTATGAAAATGATACATATATATGACTTATGGAAAGTAATATTTTATACTTATATCAAAAGGGAGTAAGAACGTAACTTCTTAATTAATATACATTACACATTTACATGGGTGTCTCGATTCATCACATATATGTATCATAAAGTCTGTTAGGATGAGTTCTACTCCTCTATTTCACATATATGTATGATAAAGTCTGTTAGGATGAGTTCTACTCCTCTATTTCTCTCTTGCAATGGAAAAATTATTATGTAATTGAGAACCAATTAGTATTTAGTTTCAATAAATTATTACATGATATGTATTTAAAGTTTAACCAACGAGATAAAGGTTGAAATTAATAAAATTAGAGATGAAAAATTTAAACTCAACCATATTTCTTTTTGGTTAGAAAATCCACTGGAACTTTGTATTTTTTTTTTTTAAATTTAATTTCTTATTTTTAAGTAAATTATATGTTAAGTTATTACTTACGTAGGGACACCATTATTATTGTGAGAAATGAAATATATAAATTTGGATCATAACTAATACTAGTTAATATTTTAAGTTAGTTGGTAGTCACGTATGTGCATTTTTTTTATAATCTTAATTCAAATATGGTGATCAATGTATGAGATTGGTGTCATTTTTTGAAGACAAATTTATTTACAACTCTTGTTAATGTTAGTTCTTTTGTAGTGTGCATAGTAGATGAAAAATTACAGCGAATGTGAATAAGCCTTTCACAAGTCTGCCGACGGGTATTAATTATTGTTCTTTTGTAGTCTGCTTGATGGGTATTAATTGCAGAATGATTTTTCTGACTTTTTTACTCTTCTAGCATATATCCATGCTTCAAATTTTAACTTTTTAATCTCCTTAATAGTATTGCCTTCATTCTTAACTTGCTAATAAAAGAACCGAAGAGAATATGTTTGGTACGGTATGATTATTTGACTCATTTAAGGACCAAAAGTGAGGAACAAAGCGCGAATCAGTTTTCGTCATTGAATATAAGAGAGTGCATCAATCCTTGAAGATTGACGACTTTATCATCTTGTCTCTCATAAATTTGCTTATGAGTTTTTAATTTTCGTTGGTTTAGGTTGCGATGAATCTTGATTTGATTTGAACAAATTGTAAACTTTTTATTCTCATTTTATAATGTAATTTTAGTTATTGAATTTGTTTTAGTATTTTTTCATAATTGTCGTTTATTAAGAAATTGTTTTGTAATCTAAATCTTATAATCAAGAAATTGGAGTTTAAACTATTCCAATTCAATAATCACATAATTCTTGAGACTAGATATAAGATAAGTAGTAACATTCGTGCGAATTTTTTCACCCAGCGCTTGATACTAATTTTATTGACATAGGAGATTAAGGTTCACGATTAGGAATAAAGGGTTTATCATCCAAGAAATTCACACAAGAGATTAAGGTTGACGATTAAGAATCACCCAATAAACTGGGGTTAAGCTAAATTTAAAAAATTCAATGTTAATCACATAATAAGGACGAATTTAGACGTGCTAGAAAGAGATTCCCATGAAAGATAATATAACGATTTTTTTATTAATTTTTTTTAATTTAACTATTAAATTATTAAAATTTAATATATATTAAAAGTTATTAAATAAATTAAGTAGGAATAAAATCACGTATAACTTAGTAAATCACCAGCTAATTTGTGAAAGGTAAAAAAGAAATAAATTTATCCAAATTTAAAAATCCAGCAAAAGTCATGTCCTATAATAAATATATATTAGTCTCTTTGATTGTTAGTTTTCTAACATTATGCGAATCGTGTTTATGAAAAAAAAAATTACTCACACTTTATCTCGCTTACACACAACTAAACACACATAAAATTCATTTTTATACACTTCATCCCTCTTCATTCCTCCTCCTACCATCTTCCACTCACTATGCTAGTGGATATAACAATATCCCCTATTGCTTCTCTCTAAATAAATTAAAATAATTATCTTTTTTTTTAATAAGAGTGTTTTTAAGATATAATTTAGTGATGGGGTTTTTGAAATTCTTTAACCTCTTTTCTATTTTAATTTATCTCTTTCATCTTTGTTTATAAACTAAATTTTAATATTTTTTTTAAAAGAAATGATCAATAATTAAAATTAACTTTATATCATAATATAAATTAATTATTACAAATTTAAAATATAATTTGTATATTAACAAATATTTATTTAAGACATTTAATTATAATATAATTTATATATTTAAAAATATATTTTATTTTTATTTTTATAAATTTTAGTTATTCTTCTTTATATATAAATCATATATTTTACAGCGGAAGCTACATCATGCGGATTATGTCCAAGAAAAAAAAAATTATATGGACGAGACTGTTTTAATGAATTACTATTCAACGAGATTATAATTTTTTTATTGATTTTCTCAACTTCTCATATTTTTTTAGTTTATATTTATGTTTTTAATTTTATATATAATTTCAATGGTTTTAAAATTTACCAACAATTAAAACAATATCATATTATTATATAAATTATTTAGTATAAATTATAGTTAAATAAAAAAATTAAATATTATCTTGTACAATACATAAATTAAAATATTATTATAAAATAAATATTATTTTATATATTACACATATTAAAATACTAATTTTTCATAAACTCTTAACTATTTGATTAATAGGAAATTAGTTAACTATATGCATATGTAAAAAGAAAAAGAAAAAGAAAAACTGTATGCATAGGAGATAGCATTATTTTGATTTGACACGTGTGGAGGTGGTACCTATAATTAGCGCGGTGACGTATTGGCAAGCGTCCAATACTCCAACGTTATGTTATGTACTTGAGCGTACTGCTCAGTGCTCACCCAAGTTATGTACTTCTCAATTATCTCCACTCATCCCATCCCATGTCAAGTACTTTACCAGTCCTCCATCATAATCATATTATGTCTCTTCTTTTCTTTCTCATTAATTTGAAAGTTCCCTTTTACCCTCAAACAAAAACTACTTAGGCTTTGTCACTCTACAATACTATATTTTGTATTTATTTTTTATAATTAAATGTATATAATTCATGTAATATTATTGATGAAAGATTAATATATCCTTCTATTTTGTACTTTGATGTCAAAAGTTTAATTTATTTTGGTTTTAATCTTCATTATTAAAATACATTATGTAATTTGTGTATTTTGTTCATTTTTTTTCTTATATAAACCATATGTATCTTTAGGTGATATAATTTTAGGAAAGTAAAATCATTATAAATAATAAAATTCTTTATCTAAATATTTAATTGAACTCTGTTTGATATAGAGAGAAAAGATGAGAAAATGAATACCATAGATTTAGAAAAATGATTACACACAAGAAGGATAATAGAACAATGTATTTATAGGAAGAGTTAGAGGCAAACTAACTCTAACCTATCTTACAAGTAAACTAACTAACTTTTTATAACAACAATGAGACTCTTTCATCCTTTACCCTTAACATCTCCCCTCAAACTCATGGTGTCCAAAGTGGCAACCATGAGTTTGTTTCGAAAATGCTGAAATTGTTGTTTAGCTAGAGGTTTTGTAAGTGTATCTGCAACTTGGTATTCTGCATGAAGATGAATAACTCTTACTTCATTCTTTTTGACTTTATCTCTCACAAAGTGCAAATCCAGCTCAAAGTGTTTAGTTTTCGAGTGCAACACAGGATTGGCAGTAATGAGTACTGCACTTAAATTGTCACAGTAAATTCTGGGTAGAGACTTTGGAACCATTAATTCACTTAATAGTGACTGTATCCATATAATGTTTGTTGTAACATCAGCTATATACTGCGGTATTCAGCTTCTGTTGTACTTCTTGAGACTGATTTTTGTTTCCTTGATGACCAAGAAATAAGATTGGAGCCTAGAGACACACAGTAGCCACTTGTTGATTTTCTATCATCCTTATCATTCCCCCAGTTTGAGTCACAGAAGCCAGTTAGATTTAGTTGCTTATTCTTTTGAATGAGAAGACCGTGATGGATGGTTCCCTATAGATACCTCATAATTCTTTTCACTACCTTCCAATGATGTTCTTGTGGGCAGTGCATATATTGGCAAACCTTATTGATTGCAAAAGAAATATCAGTAAACAGGAGATCTAAAGGCTTAGAATATACAGTTGTAGATTGTATAAAAGGTAACTAATTTACTTTCCCTAAACAACAAGAGTGACAATTAAGATTGGTACTAGTATTACAAGGGATTTCACATTTATCTAAAACGGTTTTGACAATTTTGGAGGAGGGATGGCCAAGTCTTGCATGCCACAACTGAAGATTGCTAAGGGATTGCGCAGGAGTAAAATCTGTGACAGCTTGATAAGCAGAATAGGAATGAGTGGTCTTTAAGTTTGGAAAAACATATAGGCCTTGTTGAAGCCTACCTTGCAGAATGGTCTGGTTAGTATCCTGTGTTTTGACATTGCAAAAGTCAAGGAAAAAATTCAAAATATACATGATTGTCCCTATAAAATTTGGATACACTCAATAGGTTTTTAGTGATAGAAGGTACATGAAGTAACTAATTTAAGATAAAATGTTTAGAAGTGTTTGGCATATACAATTCAGAATAACCAATATTTCGAATTTTCAAACCTGCACCATTACCAATTTTGACATTGTCTGAGCCTTGATAGGAGGATTTAGCTGAGAGATTAGCTTCATCATTGGTCATATGATGTGAGGTCCCACTATCAAGATACCACAAAGGATCTTGAACAGTTGATGGAATGGCAATGTTTCCTTGATAAGAATAAACCAATGCACTAGAATGAAACAGTGAGGTATTAGCCCGTGGAGGTTGATAAAAGTCTTGATTAAACCTCTGCCAACAATCAATAGCCACATGCCCAAAATTTCCACAGATTTGACACTGTGGTTTAGGATTATTCCAATTGTTTTGATTGGATTGAAACCAACTATTCCTGTCAAAGCCTCTTCCTGATGTATTTCTTCCTCTTCTATAGTTATTGAAGCCTCCTCTATTATTATTTCTTCCTCCACGACCATAGTTAGCACCACAAACATATTTTTGTTCTCCTCTTCCTCTTCCAAAATTTCCCATTTGAGAATTTACTGTTGCAGTATTTGCTTGAACAAAATTGTGCTCTATCTTTTGGTGTTTGTCAAACCTTTCTTCTTGTGCTAATAACAATGCCTCAATATCATCCACTAAGTAAGGATCCAAAAGGGATGTAATAGATGTGATAAAAGAATCAAATTCTTTCGGAAGTCCATCAAGAATGGCCTCAATATGCTCATCCCCAGAAATTGGTGAACCAACAGCTGCTAATGAATCTACGGTGTTTTTAATTGAAAGAAGATATTTTGTTACTGTGCAATTTTTCTTTGACATACATAATTGTAGCTTTAATTTCTTAATCATTGCTCGTGTTTGTGATGCAAAATAAGTCTCCAAATGCTTCCATATTTGATGAATACGCACTAGCCTAACCATTTTGGTAAAGATTGGAGTTGTCATTGATGTCAATAGCCATGCCACTAATAGTTGATCTTGTTGGTCATATTGCAAATATTCATCCTTGATCTTGTTTTCTGCTTCATCTTCTAATTTGGTCTTGAACTTTTATGGAACTGAGATTTCAAGAAGATACTTCCCAAGATTGAATCCACGAATTGTAGCTTGTACTTGTTGTTGCCATATGAGAAAATTATCATCAAGTTTAGTGGATATGGGTGTCTTGAAGGTTTGTGGATTGAACAAAGAAGCCATAGCGGAAGACGATTGTTAACCACTAGAGGCTCTTGATACCATGTTTGATATAGAGAGAGAAGATGAGAAAATGAATATCATAGATTCAGAAAAATGATTACACACAAAAAGGATAACAAAACAATATATTTATAGGAAGAGTTAGAGGCAAACTAACTCTAACCTATTTTACAGCTAAACTAACTTTTTATAACAACAATGAAACTCTTTCATCCTTTACCCTTAACAAACTCAAATTCCATATTATTGATTTAATTGAAACAACTTCATAGGCTGATACCAATTACCGTCTATATACTATATATTTTACTTATTTGAGTTTTTTTTAAGACACTCATTTAATTAACTCTCTAATTCTCAATTTTTTTAATGAAAGATTTGGTACTATATTATGAATGACTAATTAAGATCGATATCCATTATTTTTTTGGAGTAAAGCATTAATCATAATAAAGACTGAGATTCAAAAACCAATCCAAGTAAGTAAAATTCATAGGAAAACTTATTTAAAGTAAACCTTTATTAATTTTGTTGTGTTTCGAAATAAGATTTTCAACCGATGCAAAATAGATATTAAAAATGAAGTATATGTTTTAAATCAAATCATGGATGCATGATTGATAAATAAAAATAATAATTTTTTTCTTGAAATATAAAGTAACCGATCAATCAACAATCACTATATACAAGTTAGTATATATAT